GTGCACCCCTAATATATATATATATATATATATATATATATATATATATATATATATATACACATACACTATTGTTTTTAAATAATACTGGGATCCACCTAAACATAACCATATCCACAGAAACAGGTCTCCACATACAGATCCCAGGATTTCTGGGAATTTTGCCTTGTTGCTCACACATTTCCCACAGTATAAAATCAAGTAAGATGAATGTAAATCCAGCAAAAAGGCATAATGCCTGCGAGAACCTAGGAAGCCCATGTTGTGATAAAGACACACATATGAGATTAACACACCACAGACTGGTTCAATCATAGCACAATGTTCTGTATTAGCACAGCCTAGTGATTGCTGCTTGGCCTTGATGCATATGGGCTCATTCCTATATGTATTATAGTATGTCATATATTGCCTCTAAAAAAAAAATAGACGAATGGCAAACTACAGGTCAGAACACCCGAAGGCAGAATGCAGGACTTGTACTGCAACAAAACACATAGGTGGCATGCTCAAAACAATGGATTTTGTGCTACAGTAAAAGTATGGCAATGCATCTGATGGAAATTAACCATTTAGTAGTAATCAGAGGCATATAAAACTATGTTTGTTTTCACTGGTAATGGGATATATTAAATATACTTTGAGAAAAATGCCTAGATAGAAATGGTTTTCTTCCAAACGGACTGTAATTTTATATGAAGCTACAAATGTTTACACCAACTATTAAACAACACTCCACTATGCACTGTCAAATGTATGATGTATGGGGTGGGTGTGTTAAGATATATAAAAATGGATGAAGATTATCCAGTATGTGTGTGTATATTATATGTTCATTTTATGTTTATTTTATATATATATCTATCTATATATATATATAAAGAAAACAGAGCACTTTAGCTAATTATGTACTATTAGGTGTAAATAGCTGTGCTAAAAGGTAGTTTAAATTGGAAAGTATTTGGATATCAGCACTTACAGAAATTTGATGCAATACGTATATACTACACCAAATATATTACCTATTACAACCACGCTGTAGAAAAGACACAGCTTCTGATTTTCCTAACCCTGAACTACATTCTGAAATCAATAAAAATGTCATTTATCAATCATTAACTATCGAAAATTCACATGTGAAATTGTAGAAGTAGCATTTTCAGCAAATCCTACTGAAAGCACATACAGTACACACAAGCATACTAAATGGAAAGCTACTTTGTGTTTTTGAATGTGTAGGAGTTACTTAAACGCAGCAGGTAATTTTAACATTGAGGAAGCCTCAGTCTCCACCACTGTCAAATTAAATAAATACAATTTAATGGGAAAGGATTTCCCGTTTTTTTTTTTAACAATAAATATATAACGTCCTATGGTCAGTAGATATAAAATGCTTACAGTACTAAATTGCCATACATTCCATCACGGCATGGAAAACTATGCTCCTAATGTCTTCTTTGTATTTTACTACAAAAAGAATAAAGCTCGACAAATGCTCACAGGGAATGACGGTTTTCCTAAACACTTTTGAGGTCAGATATGTATTGATAATACCTCTTTATAGAAAATAGACTGTCTAAAAATAGTGTTTGTACAGTACAGTATGCAGCATGGGATGAGATATTTTTCCAGTGAGGCTCTTGATGTGGGAATTGGACACAACGTACTGTATAGGTGTCGTTTAAAAATTCTGCCTTTAAACATCAAGCATTTAAACACTAGTCATGTAAAAAAAGAAAACAGCAAAATAAGTGGTAAGTTCCCCTTACAACATCTAGGCATAACCATGTTCTAGAAATGGTTAAACTAAGGGTAGCCACAGTGCACCACGTCAGCCATTTTGTGTCATGCACAAGCAACTGTCACCTTTATGAGGCGGAAGGCGGAAATAGGTCTACAGATACAAGGCTACAACCCTGAATATTTTCAGACGGTTAGCGGAAGCTGTAAGGACGAAGATTCCGCAGATGACTGCATACTACATAGACAATATTAGGGATACTGTGGAAGAAGAGTATTCATCCAGCTAGCCTCTGGCAGAAGAACAAGATCCTAGTTCCAACTGCGATCTCATGTCAGTGTATTACTGGAGCGTTCCCCTAGAGATCTCACGAACTTCCATTGTTGTTCTGAGTAACAGAATCTCCTTTTGGGTCTTTGGAACTTGACGATTTCTTTTGCTTTTGCTTTGATTTCTTCAGCATGTGAACCTAGAACCACAAAGAAGTGCAATGTTTTCAGAACAGAAGAAAAAAAAGGAAGCTATTACAATACAAAGTTACTTGTTTACCAATTTAACGTCAAGCATATAAATTTCCTTTTAAAGCGGATGTAAAATCGGACTTAACTTGCCTATAAAATCCTTTTCTTGGAGTATAGCACAGGACACAGGGGTAATCGTAGACGACTGGGTTATATGCAGATACCTTCAGGGGATTGGACATTGACAAACAGAGATGTAAGGAACACCCTATAACTCCTCCCACTTCCCTGGGATCCTCAGTTTTTAGCAAGCAATCCAGGACGACACAGAGGGGAGGTTCCTGTGTACTGTATTCTACTACAAGAAAAGGATTAAACAGGCAAGTCAAAAATCCTATTTTCTTGATCGTACAGTAAAAGATAGAGGTGTAATCGTAGACGACTGGGACGTCCAAAAGCAATACAACTGAGGCGTGGGCAAACAGCAAACACAATGCCAACAGCCCAAATGACCCCAAAACAAAGTCAGAACACAGCGTGAAGCACCTTGCGGCAAAAATATTCATCAGAGGAAATTTGGGAGGGTAACAGACACGGGCTTAAACATTTTAACATTACAGGAGGACCTGGATAAAATATGGGAGTGGGCAACTATATGGCAGATGAGGTTTAATGTTGAGAAACGTAAAGTAATGCACTTTGGGGTTAAAAACAGGCAAGAAGAATACACATTAATGGGTACTGCACTAGGAAAGTCAGAAATGGAAAAAGATTTGGGGGTCATAATTGACCCCAGATTGAATAACAGCTTGCAATGCCAGGCGGCAGCAAACAAAGCTAGCAGAGTAATGTATTGTATTAAAAAGGGAACGTACTGTAGAGACAAAGCAATCATTTTGCCACTTTATAGATCACTGGTTCGGCCTCATCTTGAATATGCGGTTCAGTTTTGGTCATCAGTCATCAGAAAAGATGTACTTGAGCTGGAGAAGGTTCAAAGAAGAGCAACTAAGCTAATTAAGGGGCTGGAGGATCATGACTACGAGACAAGGTTGCTAAATGTATACTTGCTCACGCTAGAAGTGAGGAGATTAAGAGGGGGCATGATTTTGTTGTACAAAATGTTTAGTGGTGATGGCAACATCGGCACTAAACTTTTTACAGTAAACTCCATAACAAAGACTAGAGGCCATTACCTAAAACTGGTGGAGAAAAGATTTATACACAAAGGGCGTGGGGGCTTCTTTTCAGTTAGAGCGGTTACATTTTGGAACTCGCTGCCACAAGCAGTGGTATCAGCAGAGAGTATTTATTCATTGAAAAATCAATTAGATACCATCCTAAGGGACTGTAACATACAGGGGGGTACACGTACACTTAAATACTAGACCACACAGCAGGGGTGTGGAATTCCTATCGCCCGACGCCCGGGACAGGCAGTTTCGGGCACCGGGCGAGTAGTTCTTTCTACATTTAGCCCGGCTGCGGGCAAGCAGCACGGCTAAATGTAGTGTGCGAGCCGTTTTGTACAAGTGATTTTAAACGGCTGTGCAGCCGTCCAAAACCACTTGTAACAAGCCTGAATCTCACTCCCCGTCCCCTCTCCTCTCTCTATTCATCTATCACCGGTGGCCGGCCGACCGTGTACCGCTCCCGGCTGCCTCTCTCTCTCTGCACCTGGGCTTCCTTCTTGCCGTGGTCTTCGGGGTACTCCCCTCTTGTGGGGGATCCGTGACCACGGCAAATTAGGTTAGAGAGCACTGAGCAAGGCAGAGAACGCTTCTCGGCTTTGCTTGGTGTGAATAGTGACACAAGAATGCAGCCTTCCTGTCACAGGAGAACGAGCACAGTGCTGTGCTAGAACTCCTGTGTTGGAGGTGTCAGGGTCAATAAAGAGAACCCGTCACCTCCAAAAGCTATCACACAAGATAGCAATAAAGTCAAGTGAATAAAAAAAAGTAAAACATAAAATATATAACATTTAAAAATGTAACTACATAAAAATGGGAAAAATACAAAGGCGATAAAGTAAAAAATTATAAAAATAAATGATAAAAATAAAAAATATTACAAAAGCAAAAATAAAAAAAGTAAAATAAAATCTAAAAAATTGAAACCAACCCCTATCATCTGCATGTGAATAAATGCATGCATGGGGCATTTTGTGTGTGTGCGCGGAGTGGGCGATCCGTTACCGCATGGCAATCATGCACAAAACCGTGTGGATTGCAATAACGCCCGTGCATTTTCACATAATCGCGGTTAAAAACACAGCACGGTGTGTGTTGCGAAAAAGGTACATGTACCTTTTTTCAGTGATTACCACGCGGATGTAACCCCATTGAAATCAAAGGGGCCACATGGCAACCGCACACGGTCGACCAAGTCTGCACCCGCCCCAAAGGGTAAATTCACTTTCCCAAGTAATTTGAGAAAATTGAATTACCTGCACGAATAAATGCATGCATGGGGCATTGTGTGTGTGCGCGGAGTGGGCGATCCGTTACCGCATGGCAATCATGGGCGGTCACAGAATCGCACACCACCGCCGATCGTGCTGGCAGTGCCATTATTGTCTAATGGCACCCCAGTAACTCCAGACAGATTGCGCAGTTTCCCGCCGCAATAACGCCCGTTCATTCGCACATAATCGCGGTTGAAAACACAGCACGTGTGTGTCGCAGATATAACCCCATTGAAATCAAAGGGGCCGCGTGGCAACCGCACACGGTCTCCCAAGTCTGCACACCCCCCCAAAGGGTAAATTCACTTTCCCAAGGTATTTAGGAAAATGGAATTACCTGCACAAATCTGGTCCCCTCTCCCCCCGCTATACTTACCTTTCAGGGAACGCTCCTTCCCATCCGCAAGTATGGGTGTACTATCTGTACCTGTGCCATGTATTCCGAATTTCGCTTGCAAAATTCAAGCACTCGTTGGTCAGCGCACTGACCAACGAGAAGCTCTTCTTGGCACTGCTAAATACGGTTTTGGTTAAAAATAATGTTCTTTTTTTGCATCAGGACAAGTAGATTTCCATGAGGGACAAGTAGATCGGGCCCCCGCTTTAGTCCTTGGACAAGTAGTTTAAAAAAAAAAAATTCCACACCCCCTGCACAGTGACTCTTATACACACGCATGCACAACAGACACACACACAGGTTGAACTTGATGGACCTGTGTCTTTTTTCAAACTCAAATACTATGTAACTTTGTAAGGAGGCCTGAACATCCACCTGGTAGAACCTAAAAAACATGTGAACAGAGGAAAATTAAGATAGCGACAAGAGAGCTCAGCCAGAGGAATATGTTGAATAAGTTCAAAGGAAGGCCCTTGGAGGGCTGACAAAACCAAACTGAGATCCCATAGGGCCATAGGGGGGCAGATGGGTGAAGCAATGTGAGCGAAACCTTGTACAAAAGAGTTCCTCAGAGAATGAGAAGCCAGCGGTCTTTGAAAGAAAATAGCAAAAGCCTAGATTTGTCCCTTGATGGTGCTCAAGGCCTAATGCTGATCCAGGCTGGACTGCAGAAAAGAGAAGATATGTACCGGTATCACAGATAACCTTCGAGGGTGAAACTTTTGTTCTTCACACCAGGCAAAAAAAGCCTTCCAGGTGTGATGATAGACAATGCAAGAGATCATCTTTCTAGCTTTAAGAAGAGTAGGAACAATCGGATCTAGAAAACCCCTGTCCCTCAGAACCTGAGCTTCAACAGCCAGGCTGTCGAAGCCAGCGACCAAGAAGCAGGATGGAGAACTGGCCCTTGAGACAGGAGATCTAGTCGATCTGGAAGGGCCTAGAGAGAGCCTGTCAGGAGTCTGAGAATGTCTGCATACATTACCCTCCTCGGCCAATTTGGAGCCACGAGAATTACCAGATCCTGCAAAGTAACCGGGAAGAAGAGTAGATTAGGTTGAACTGATCCCATGGAGTCACCAGGGCATCCACTGAGAATGCTCGGTGATCCCTGGACCTGGCAACAAACTTGTTCACTTTGTTGTTGAACCTGGACATCAACAGATCCATATCCACCATCCCCCACCTCTGACAGATTCTGAAACACTTCCGGATGAAGGGACCGTTTGCCCAAATCTTAGCACTGATGCCGCCTGCCAATTTTCCAAACCTGGAATGTGCATGGCAAACAGGGCCGTAATGTGCCGAAACATGGAGTGGAGTTACACCCATGTCAGAATTAGGGCCACCTCCTGTAGATCCTCGCAACTTCTGGTGCCTCTTTCATGGACCTCAATCTTACTCATTAGCCGTTGAAGCCGAAAATTCCTCCCTGCTATGACAGGAGAAATGTGTCACACCTGAGGGAACAATGAAGGTGTCAGAGAAGAGAAGCAACCCAGGAAGAGGACAAGTCGTCTAAACCAGAATCTACAGGAGAGTCCTGTTTAACCCTTCCATGACCCTTGGCAGAATGTGTGCTAACACGGCCCTGTAATCCATTCCCCTTGTGCTGGTGGTCAGCCATAGCGATGTGAAAGGGTCCGCTCGGGGTTACTCACTGTGAGAAGTGAGGGAGGAAAATGGGAGTGCAGCCATACTGGTGTTCAATCACTTGTGGGCTGCACTCCCCCAATGCATCAGTCATTGTGTCAGGGTGTCTCCAGTGGCTGCAGTGAACATCCAGACTGTGAGGAAGAGAGTTAACATGGCGCCGAGAATGTGAAGACACCAGCAGTGCTCGGAGCTGCGTGTCATAGTTCCCCCTTGGCCACAAATAAGAGTCAGCCAGAGTGCTCCATGCGGCATGTCACAACGTCCCCTGGCTGTAGGAGGGGAGACAGTCAGTGCCACTCTCCTCCTGTAGAGCAGCACACAGTAACAGTAAGAATATGGCAGAGTGCAGCCCTTGCTTTGGTTGCAACACTCTGACCAAACACTTGTCATAGGAAAAGGGGTGGTAAGAAGGAAAGGAGCCCTCACCTGCAAGAGAGCCCAGGGGGACAACCATGTGGCGATCGTTGGACCCCAGCACAAGACATAAAAGGGAACACAGCTCCAACTCACCCATCGGTGAGATTCTGTGGGGAAGGAGTTTTTACTGCTATTTTTGCACTCTGCGGGTGGGCTTACCCTCACTTGTAAGGGGGTCTTCAGGGACAGGATACAACAGACAGGCAAGGCCCTGGACCTGTATAGCACCGTGCGGCGGACTCAACGCATTGCACCACTTGACAAAGTGAGCGTTTAATGCAGGGTGCAGTACCTGAATCTACATTACAGGCCGGCCCTACGTCATCTTCTAGCAGTTGAGGTTCTGCCAAGAAGCACCAATCCGAAGCTGTAAGAACAGTCTTGAATGTTAACTTTAGGAGTGAAAAATGCATCCATCACCTAAGACACCAGAAAAAAAACTGAAGATTCCTGGGAAATCGGAGGGGTTTTATGGGGTCCTTATAGCTCGGTTTGCCTCACCTGAAGATAGCTGCATATAGCTATAATCCAGTCTTCTATGATTACGCCTGTGCCCTGTATGATCAATAAAGTAGGTTTAACAAAAAAAAAAAAAGGAAGCCTTCCAGTGATGTTTCCATAATGTGATCGTATGCAAAGCATAGCAGCACATTATGGCCGAGTTACCTTGTAGCAGATCCCCTCCAACGCCGTGATGTCTGCTCTTCCCTCCTGCACCGCCATCCTCTCCTGGTCTTCTTCTGGGTTTGGTGTTTTGAGCCTCTTGATTGGCCGGCTGGCATGATTTAACTTCAGTGCATGGGAGTTACTTCAGCTTGGCATGCTGGGTAAGTGCGGATCAGTGCACAGATAAAAAAGAAAATTGCTGACAGGCAGGTAGGAGATTTTTGGCAGAAGAGACTTTCACAGTCTATTCTGCTATAAAAAAAAGACCTGTCAGCAATTTCTTTTAATAAGGACACTTTACTTCCACTTTAAATAACTGCATACTAAACACATATCAATGTAATAAGAAAAACAGTGAAGTACTAGGCAGTTGTTTCTCTACCTTTGGCCCTGCAGCAGAAATGATTATCTGGCCGGCGGACTGGATCCAAGGTTCACCATCAACTTGCACTGGAATAGGCTTCAGAAGTGTTACACGGAAATACGATCCTTGTGCAATCCGAATACCTGATCTAAGTCCTCCCTGAACCTGGCCCTAGAAAGACAAAGTAGTTTTTATTAAATCAGAGATAAACACGCAGACAACTGCAACTGAAAGCATCTGATATTTCAGTTTTGTTAGATGCTGGAGCTGTGAATCCTCTAACGTCTTAGATCTTCTAACACTAAGGCAAAAAAAATTATCTACTCAGCTTCAGGATGCTTCTCATTACTCCCTACTGGATTAATAATTACAGAGATGCAGAAAGCACAGCACTTCATATAGTACCAGATCCTTCAGCAATGGCACAAGAATGCAAACAGTGCTGCAATCACCCAAAACACAAATATAACGGTCAGGCACAATCCATCTCACAGCCAGTCCTAGAAAAAAGTAGCATTCATCTTGTTCATGTTAAGAGCTGTTCACAGAAAACATTTTACATACAAAGATTTAAAAAGAGAAAACTTTAAGGTAAATGTATAATAACTTGTTTAACTAAAAACATATAAACACATGGTAAGCAACTCAATTCTTTGTTGTTTCCTGTGGTGAAGTAGGCATGTATTATGTGCTTTTTTTACTTCTGTTTTATGGTAGTTAAACTTAACTGTAAACAATTGCCGTTCATGTAACTTAACTTACCATGTGAACTACGCCAGTCACACCAACAACTTCAAGTAACCCATCATCAATTCTTGGCTTTCCATATCGATTGTCATTATCAGAGCCCCACAGATCAGCACCTGAGCCCCAACTGATATTGAAAAAAAATAAATAAACAATGCAAAAGGAGTTCTTTATAAATAACATTTTCAGACTGTTTTGAATTCGCATAAAAACGTTGGCATTGGTACCTAAATCATATTAAAGTTTTTCAGCCAAAATTTTTTTATTTAAGGAAGGGTTATCACATGCCTGATGAAGAATTTCTGCATGGCCTTGAAACATTGCACTGATACGGTTTGTGATGTGGCTGCTACAATAAAACATTTGGACTGTTGATCCATGTGCGTGCTTGTGACATATGTTTTCATCTATGTGCTGATACAAGCCAAACTGCTGGCAGTTGCTACAGCACCCTTTTACCCCAGGCCCGGTCCAGGAACTTGTGCAATGGGAATATTTTGAGAAAGAAAAGGTTATAACCCCCGTTAGGTTTTTACTACTGTTTGGGGCTCTGTTACAGATTTCTGGTGACAAAAGTTTTAACAAATAGAAATTGAGGGAAAATCTGCAAAAAAAAGAAGGTTTCGCCTGGAAATACACTTTAAAACTGACATTACAACTAGACAAGCTACGCCTGTCTGGCCTTAAATTAAACAAAACAGGATCAGGGACAAAGATGATGATCCTAGACATATGAATAGCAAATATGGCTATCCAACTATGTCACTCCTGCAAAAAAAACATTTTTACTTGCCTTACTTTTTAGCTACATATGCAATTCTGTGTATAATCTCGACATGCCTTGGTGCTGGGATGAATTTATGTGCAGGAGTTAAGTCATAACCTGAGCCTGTAAATCAAGATGGCTGAATTTGCCAAACCCAGAAAAGATTGGGATTACAAAGAAGCGCTGCAAAGGGAGCTTGCAATGCTGATGGTGGGTAAGCATTGCAGAATTTAGCTCTACTTTAAAAACATAATTTACATTATGATGATCTCTTCTACATATATATTTAAAAATATTCCAGAAGAGTTCTGATTTAACATGTTCATCTCTGAGAAACCACTGACATTATTACCACTACATAAAGGGAATTATGAGATTTAAACAAAACAAAATGGTAGATTGAATAAAAGTAAAATTAATCTACCTGGGAATATTTAGAAAGATGAGACCTTCTATATTTGGCAGTTCCACCTCTTGTTGGTCCACGTGAAGTTTCAAGTCTTTATGTAAATTTCGATTGTGACTTAGCTTTTGTAAACCAGCTTTTACATAGACTCCTTTATTATGGAACCTTAAAAGAAACCCTTGCTTTATTACCAATCCAATATACGTGTAATTTAGAGAATATTAATTTTAAAGAAATACACCTGTGTTATTAGCCTCTGATGAAAGCATTCATTCCCTGCCTTGTGTGCATTATACTCTAAAAGCAAAATATACCCTCTTTCTGCCACCACTCCTCCTTCTCAGAAAGGGAACCCCAAACTGACAGTCAGTGAATACACCGGCCAAAGAAGTCATGGCAGCTTTTACAGTAAACTGGTCAAATTCATTCCAAAATGGCTCTGGTAAGTGCAATAAAGTAGATTTACACCCTAACTGGATAACAAAGCATGGTGTACAATAAACATCTTGCATGGGTTTTATTTTAAATTCTACTTTCACCTTTCTTTCATCCTTCTATTTTATCTTAGTGCTGCTAATCTCCAGCCCTTGTTCCTTAAACACAGTTGGAGACAGTTAATACTCCGCAACAGAAGTGCCTAAACAAGGGCCTTTGTGGCAGCATTACCAGGTATAGTTTTAATGAAAGCTGCATATTTAAAAATAATATATGAGCATGTCATAAAATCATAAAATATTTTGCTTGCCAACTATATTGAGAGAACTATGGCCCGAATTTTTGTTGCCATAGTTCCCTTTTGGGTCACATATACTACGTCCTCCTGTGACCCGAAACTCAGCACATAGTGGGGTATTGCCTGCTATATGCTGAAAGCGCAGAGCCGTGCTGCAGCCAAGAAAGATCCCGACAATCTTGTTGGGATCCACCTCGCTGCCTGATTGACAGCTGGAACTGCCTCTCTAGAGCCAACTGTGCTGCCCCACAGTCAGTGCTGGAGGAACAGAGTAGGGAATCCCTGCAGGGAACGGTGACTGTCACCGCTCTCTGCAGGGAGAAGTTCAGGAACTACGCGATCGGCGGTATGTTCCTGATCAATAGGTGTAATTCACTCTCCCCATAATTCCCCTTCAAGATGCTAGAGCTTATCTGAGATTTTTGGTATTATGATTAGATCTACTTTCACCGATTGGATTATGGTAAAAGGGCAGGGAAGGTGCTTGGGCCAACATGCCTCAGAAGGTAGGGTTATGAATCACAAAATGAAATACTTTTAGGCACTAAAGTGTCACAAATTACAGGCTAAGCATTATTAAGTCAGTGAAGAGATTACCTGCTATTGAATTTTCCAGGTTCAATTTCACGAGCATGATGGAAATCCAAACTTAATTCTGCATCAATCCCAATTCCACAGTAGTTATTCATTTGAACAATCTGGTAAAAAACAAAAACACATCATTCTTATATCTTTTCTACAACCCGTTAAAGTCTTCACATTGCTACAGGATGTTAGTTTAACATGTGCAGGGTTAGGGCTACAGCTTCTTGGGTGATTTTAATCTCTTGTTGCTTACAGATTTAGCCACTTGCTGGAAGTCATCTCATTTGGCTGGAGCTAAAAATACATTAACAGCAAAATTTCGAATTTCCTTTAAAAAAAAAAAGGTTTCTTTGATAGCACATTTACCCAGAATCATAAAATATACCAATTTGTGATTTCAAACCACTTTACAAGCACCAACATATAATTTAAAATGAAGTAGTTTTAAAAGTTACCACTAGAGGGCAGGAATGCATACATTAAAATAATGCTAGGATCTTCCCTTCAGTAATGTACTGGGCATATTTACGTGCCTGCCAGCACTCAAAGAATCTTAATGGATAGTACTCATTCAAGTGTTAACCTGTTTAGTTTGATGCCATCAGTCAGGCAAATCAAGATTGCAGAGCTTCCTTTCGGAGGCTAAAGTCTACCCTTTTTAAAATACCAAGGTGACTAAAGAATAGATAAGAGGTAAACAGAGATAGATAGATAGATACCCACACACGGACAAAATATTGGCACCCCTGCATTTCTGTCAGATAATGCACCACTTTGTGCAGAAAATTGTTGCAATTACAAATATTTAGGCATTCTCATGTTTATTTCTTTTGTTTGTATTGGTATGACACAAAAAAGTGGAGAAGAAAAAAAAAAAAGCCAAATCTGACACAGGTAACTTTTGGCAAACTCCAATCTGGTTTTTTTTGTTTCTGTGTCAGCAATGGGGTCCTCCTGGGTCTCCCACCATGTCGTCCCTTTTCATTCAGATGGCGACATATAGTGCGAGCTGACACAGTTGTACATGTGTCTGAAGGTCAGCTTGAATTTGTCTGGAAGTTGATGGAGGGTCTTTATCCACCATTCCAACAATTCTGTGTTGCAATCTTTGATCATTTGTTCTCTTTTGTCCACGTCCAGGAAGATTAGCTACAGTGCCATGCGCTGTAAACATCTTGACAATATTGCTCACAGTGGACACAGGAGCATTAAGATCTCTGGAGATGGACTTGTAACCTTGAGATTGTCCATGCTTTTCCACCAAAACATGGAATACAATTATTTCTTGCAATTTGGAGAAGGTGCCAATAATTTTGTCCAGTCCATTTTTGGAGTTTTGCGTGGAATGTGTCGGATTTGGCTTTTTTTTTTCTTCTCCACTTTTTTGTATCATACCAGTACAAACAAAAGAAATAAACATAAGAATGCCTAAACATTTGTCATTGCAACAATTTTCTGCACGAAGTGGTGCATTACCTGACAGAAATGCAGGGACACCAATATTTTTTGGTGGTAAAGTGTGTAACTGCACCATTTTTAGTCTCACATACCTAAGCCTAGTTCACACCATTTTCCGGACCAGATCTGGAAAGAGGTACATTGCGTTTTGCCGCTTTTTTTTTTATAGCTTAAAATGGGCTTTCAGGTACAGTTGTGTTTTTGATGAGTTTCCATGCGTTCCGGACCAGAGAAAATGAGACTAGCAGTATTTTTTTTTGTCTGGTCCGGAACGGACTGCACTGGTGTGAACACAGCACAGAAGTACCCCTGGGGAATGCCTTTTGGTCCGGGAACAAACTGTTCTGGTCTAGACATGGTGTGAACAAGCCCTTAAAGTGTATGTAAAACAATTTTGTGAGAGACTACCATCTCAAAGGGTAGACCCTCTGTGGTCTCTGGGTTTTTTTGTTGTCTGTGTCCCCAGTGGAGAGTAATTTTCTCTATTTTTCCTGATGACCACTGGCACTGGAGTAAAGGCATGAGAAAATCCAACATTTTTAGTTGTGACTGACAAGAATAGGGGGGAAATATTCAAATTTAGACCCATATTCCAGTGACACGGTTTCCCTTACTTGGACAGATCTCCTCTACTTCCTGTTGTTTAGACAAGATAAAGGAAAATCTCCCCAAGGGGTCATGGCAACGAAACAAATAAAAAAAAACCAGGGGTTTTAACATTTGCACACTATATCAAATAAAAAAAAGCTATGGGATCCACCCCCTGCCAATTACAAGGGAGATGGACCTGATGGCCAGACTCACTACTGTTTGGCCACGTCATTGATTGATACAAGGCTATTTCTAGGACAAATCTCTGGCCCCATCCAGCTGTCAACTGCGAGATTTCCCAGCCAATAGCTGAATGTAAACAAAGGGACAGCAATGCTGGCTGATATCATAGCCTAAATAGGATATGAACTTGCCATATTTGGGTAATGATGTCAGTCAGCATCCACAGCCTTTTTGTTTACATTCAGCGGCTGTGGAATCTCCCAGCGAATAGCTAAATGGGGCCAGGGATACACCACTGGTTGCTAGGACACTAGTGGCTGCCGGTGTCCTAGAAACCAATAAGCCTTTAGTGAGAAGCTGTCACAATCATCACAGCTTCTTAGTACATACATGCCCCACTCTGAGCACTTGCATCTTTATAAGCCAGATCAGAATTAATACTACCAGTTACATAATCTGTTAGCTGGCGATAATTCTTTTTGAATATGTAGCAGCCATAGCAACTGTTTTTTTAAACTGGCATCAATTAAAACAACCTGAATTTGTTGCACGTGCCTGAACTACAACAAGGTATTCATGAATTAGGCATTGTTTTAAAGGGACCGTACCACCAGAAAGGTGTCGTAAATGGTTTATTGGATCGCTTCCTCCATATGAATTTCAGAAAGAGAAAAGCAGCAATAACTTTTTAATTCATTTCACTACAGCTCCCAGACTCCCTTATGGCTTTTCCCACAGCTGGAGGCACAGACTGACAGGCCCTCACTTCCTCTGGCCTGTGACTATGGAACCTTGCAAACACTCTGTACATAGACATAGTGCGCTATAGCCCATAACCCCTTAATGAAGGTAGAACAAACCTCAACTCCCAATGTGCACCCCATTATCATACTCAAGTGTCATATCAAATCACACTCTCCTCATTGTACAGTATGCTGCACTGTATATGGTGGGATTCCTGTCCCTCCATCTGTTGAACCCCTTGAACAATGTTGGTGTGGCCCTTACTTTATATATGTTGTCTTATCTCTTCGTCTCCTGTGTCGGCTCTGATGTCACTCATTGATACTTTCTAAAAAATATGGTAACAGACCAGCTGATATGAACGCTGTGTTGCCAGGGACCATCTTTATGAAAGGCATGCTGGTAGGTTAATTGGCTCCTCTCTAAGTTGACCCTCTATGTATGCATGTGAGATAGGGACCTTAGATTGTAAGCTCCTTTATGGTAGGGACTGATGTGAATGTGCAACTATGTAAAGTGCTGTGTAAATTGTCGACACTATATAAATACCTATTATAAATAAAATACATTTTAAAAAAATAAAAAAAGGTAAAACAAACACTGATCCCCGACAGCTGTTGTTAAATGGTGCTTCCTGATCATGTTACCACTGTGATTGGCTGTCACAGTGATCACATGATCAGGAGCCCGTCCAACCAGCTTGCAATCGTCGCTCTGATCAAGAGCCGTCGGTGACAGTGTGGGCATGGTGCAGGGGCTAGAGTGGCTCACCTCCGTGCTGCCACATATTGCGTATGGCAAGAGGGGAAAGGGTTAAACACTAGGGATGTAATATTATATGCTACATCCATTGTACATTGGCATGTGTCTACCTAAACCTCAAATCATCACTTACCAGAGCAGTCATAACTGCATATTGCTGCTGGGTCAGAGGTAACACAATAGAGGTTAGATTTTGCAATGACATCAAACACAATTCCACATTTCTAGAGCCCACTTACAAACCATAACAATGGTAATTAATTTCAACTGCACTAAATATATACTATAATGTACCACATTTTGCAGAATGCGCACACCAATCTGTTAGTTGGGTTCAAATAATAAGTACATACAACTACATAGCAAAAATGTACAGGAGAAATAAAAAAACATGGAGGCAGCTTACAATCTACTACAAAATATTTTCAAAATCAAGAAAGCTAAGGGAAGGATTTAATTTAGTAGCATCCATCAAATCTGATTTTTCACTGAACAGACCATTAAATACAATTATAGAAATTAGGCAATCTCTGCTTGGTTTCAGACACATGAGAAGTGTAAATGTATAATATAACAGGTGAATAGATAAGCAGATGTTAAGTACATAGTGAAGGGCTTCTGCAAGTACTGGTAGACAACTGTGGGGACTGGCGTACATAAAAGAGAACCTGTTTATTTTAATTGAAATCTGTGAGTGAGCGATGTGCTTAGGTAATGCACAAGAGCTGCTATTGTCCTTCTCTTCCTGACCTATGTACCATGGGTAATATACAATGGGTCCAACCCTTCTGAGCAGTGAGGACCATGAATGCTGCTCCCAAGTTCACAGCTCACTCAGTCCTCTTAACTGTAGAGATTAGAAAAAAAATGGCAGGTTCCCTTGCAAATAAATAAAGTGACTATACCTTTGGTGGCTCAGGTTCTGAAATACCATTTTCCATGGAGTCAACAACTTCTTGAGCATCAAGAAGTATAGTCCATCGATCCATAAGAACATTTTCTGCTTCATCTACAGATATAAGTACGGAATATGGATCCTCTCCACTGTAACCTGCTCCCCATCGTAGGACTCTGCCCAGATCATTACCTAGAAGAGAAATAACATCCAGTGCAGGAAACAGTAAGTATCTGAGGCACTTATTAACAATGTAACCTGCTCAAAAAGGCGATATTATACTTTAGAAAGTGGAACTAATCTAGGTTAGCCTCTGGTGGTTGGGCTGAGAGTGTGATATGCAATCTGCTCATGTTATTGACAGCCAAGGACCCACATTGGAGAAATGCTTCTACAGTTCTACTACAGGTTGCATCTTCTACACAGCAAATGAAAATTCAGAGCAGAAAATTTGCAAGCAATCCTACAGCACAATATCTCTCTCTGTAACCAGAAGCCGTGCTGTAAGAGCGAGGACACATTAGGAAGAGAATACTGCCATCTGTTGCCCTGTGTCAGCAATTTTATATGTCACATCATTTGGATTTGAGGCGACAGATCCTTCTATTCAGATCCGCCCATATTTGAGAAGCAGGCAACAATTTGTATGTCTCTTTAACATATGTTTAACGATGCATAGGCATTTTGACATTTGAATATAAACATTTGGGCTTATTTCATATTACATTGCCAGTCTTGCAGCGCTCTCTCCGTTTCTTCTGCATCATTTGATTTGACACACATTTTTAAATGCACTTGTATATGAGGAATGTGCGTCTCACCTTCTGTTTTTCTAGTAGTTGCATAGATTTCTGGGTGTCCACTAATGAAATTGTAACTAAGCCTTTCATCAAAGCACAATCACCACTATGGAGAAACACAGTGGTTTTGCCAAACTTGATTTGAAACTAATTTTACCTTTGTCAAAACTGAATTTAGCCCCAAATTTAGACCTTGGCGAAAATTTGCTTAAAAATGTTTTTAAATGGCTTTGCACTGCCATGTGAATCACAGTCTTTATTGATAAACAAAGCCAACTCTAATGCTAAAACCATTGCTGATAAACTACACCATGTGATCACCAGCACATGGAAAAGCCATGTCAGTGACAGCTGCTACTGTAGTAATTTTTAAATACACTCAAACTCAACAAAAAAAAGGTAATTTTAAAAGCTTAAATAATATTAAAAAATAAAAACATTTAGCTCTCAAAGCTGTATACCCCATAGACCAGAGCAATTTTTACATTTCCACTGTGGACATATTTATTTGGTGATAACTTGATCAATACTTAAAAAAACAAACACAAACTAATATTGGTTTTCAAAAATTATTCACATTTTGACCCATGTTCATTTAAAAAAAGTAGTAATAGTATTTTAATGCTAAATAAAAAGAGTATGCATTTCATTCTATAATTTGTCCTGTTCAAATTTACACTAAATTAATGGTTTGTGATACAAAGTATGGCCAAGGTATTCATTTTGCATATTTTCTTGTTATACCACACTGAAAGAACAAAGAATAAAAACAAAAACAAAAATTTACTGGTAACAAAATAGAAAAATAAAAACAACATACAATTAAACTACACATTGATTCATTGTATTTACTCAATGACACTTGCAGATAATTTAACATGTAATGTAATTTTACATAGGAGTGACTGCATTTCGACAGCCGCTCCTGCTGTATAATAGAAAGCAATTACTAGCTGTCATCTTGACAGCTGGCAATTGGCAGTAATAGTGGTGGGAGTGGCAGCAGCAGGGAGAAAGGAGCAGGATGTAGAAGACGAGTCCTAAGAAAAACATTTATTGAAGTTTTTCAGGATGCATCTCTGACCTTCAAAATTGTCAAGTAACAACAAAATTAAAAATGGAAATGTAAAAATTGCTCTGGTCCATAAGCAGTATAAAGGTTCGAGAGCTTAAAAAGAGAAGTATGGGGTCAGTGTTTTTCCCCATAGTTCTCCTAAGGGTCACGGGAGGACATAAACTAGCGTCCTCCCGTGACCCAAAGCTCAGTATATCGCGAGCTATAGCTCGCGGTATACTGAGACAGCCGCAGCTGGGACGGATCCCGACATTACTGTCAAGATCCACCCAGCTGCGTGAATGACAGCTGGCTCTGCCTATCTAGAGGCAGAGCCAGCTGTACCCTCCACGGTCCGTTCCGCCAGTCAGTGCTGGAGGATCAGAGCGGGGAGGGGGGAATCCCTGCAGGGAGACGTGAGTGACAGTCACGGCGCTCTGCGGGGGCATGATTGAGAAGTGAGCGAGCAACGCTATGTGTTCGCTCACTTCCCGATCTATTGAGCCGACCTGTGACATTTTTATTGTCACACTTAGGCTCGAACGATGAGGTTGAGTGAAAATCACTCACCTGATAATTGTTCTTTAAGTGGTTAAAATACCTGTAATGAAGGCTGACAGATCCCATATCTTTCTGTACAGTTTATATAAAGCCTTAAAATTCATATAAAGTCTTCCTGGTAGGGCAGATGCTTTGTGTACTGGAGTATTATTATTTTCCTTAATGTTGTGAATTCTGTCACCCTCCCTAAAGGTTACACTGGCAGCTAGTCTGCAATAATCTTGGTTCTTACGCATGAGAAGCTGCCAAGAAAACTGTGGAGGAAAAACAAGGAGTTTTGCTAAGCTGTCAGTAACAGACATAAATTATAGTACAATTCTATTGCTTTTCATTAAACTTTCAGACTTCTGTAGCATTTAGGCAGTTTCTGACAGTCCTGTAAATTGTCAATCTTTGTAGCGGAGCATACAGGCACTTGTATCAGTAAAAGTAATTTCCATAAATGATCAGATTTAATATCATGTTACTAAAAACAAAAACAAATACAACCTGTGTGTTTGATCAAGACTTGTTTACCAAGATTAGGACATTCAGGCTAAATTGTGTCTACTCAGCGACACCCATATCTAACTAATGGACATGTGTTTGGTTTAGTGGAACCAAAGTGAGACAACCCTAGAATCTACATAGTGATACACTAACAGGACTTTGGCAACAAGCAGTATGTAAACTAGTGAAAAATAATCCAAACATCTCCTATCAGCTCCACTTATGTTACAAATAGGACTGCAGCTCAAATCCAGCTTCAGCACTTTTCTAGGCCTACTAGAATTCACAGTCAAGTGACCAGGTGACTTATGAAAGCAATGATGGAACATCCACAGTTTATATAAAAAGTAAATAGTCTTAATGGAGTCTCAATATTTCCATGATTTACAGTAGGAGTCATTCATAAATATACTGATTTTTGGTGAGTTTTCTAATAAAAAAAACAAAACATTTACATCATCATCAAACCAGTGTAGAATTACCTGTTCCTAGAGGTAAGACTGCTATAGATGGTTCTGGGCACACCAGCTTGTGCCGGATCTCCTCTAGTGCACCAAGCACCCAACCAACTGTACCATCACCACCACAAACAAGTACTCGAAAAAAAGGGACTTTAGCGAAAGTATGAAATCTGTGATAAAGACAAAAATGACCATTTTATAAAATAAAGTACAAATAACCATATATAAGGCTGGGTTCACACCTTTCCATGTGATTTACGACTTTTGTTCTGCAGTTTAATGCGTTCTCTGCTACTTTGTTGGGTTTTGTCAGCAAATGAAATATTGAGTCAAGCTGAGGCTGCTATGGCAGGGGCTGGCCATCATGCACGGCAAACGCATGCAAACGCAAGTAACATTTCCATTGCCAACGCAGCACACAGATGTAAACAGCACTATTAGAATCAAAGCTATGCAAATGCATTGACATGCACATTAAATCAAAATGGTATAAAGGGGACCTTAAATACTCTTTTTTCTAATAAGTAATATGTTGGCAAAACGGCTTTACAGGGACCAAAGGCCTCAAAACATAATACAAATATATGTCCAGTGCATGATTAAACACTCAAAATTAATAAAGTCTATGCACTGAAATTAGTCTTGTAAAATGCACCTTACTTGTATGACCCTGGTAAGTGGGTGTGTTAAAGCTAGATCAGTTTTGTTTGTAATGAGAGTTATCACTGGGAATAAAAAAAAAACTAGGTTCTTGGTGTACATACTGTTTAGGAACTTGATTCACAGAGGTTGGATTATATACTGTTAGGTGGAGTGGTGGGGTAGAATGTGCTACACTGGTAGTTGGCTTCAAACAACACATAATGTGCTGGGTGGGAACAGACTGGGTTATTCTGAGATCAGAGATTAAAATCACAACTGACTTTGATCTGGCTTCTAAATGTTTCAGTTGAGGTGCACCGAAATGAAAATTTCAAAACCGAAATTTTATAAAAATGTCAGGCCCAAACAGAAAATGTGTAACCTTTTAAACAAAAAATGTATATTTTATTTTTAATAAACTTTTTATATTCATTCTTCTTCATTCATTTTTTATTAAATATTTTTATTTTTTACTTTACTTTTAGGGGCTTCGGGGAAATATTAGGGATCTAAACAGACCTCTGATATTTCCCTTTTAAAATAGAAAAAGAGATGGAGGACGCAGGGTCCTCAATCTCTTTTTCTGCAGCCCTTGTTATAAATGAACAGGAATCCTCTATACTGAGTGTTTTTGTTCATTCATAACATGAGGACAGAGTGTGTTTACTATAACCACAATCATGAATGAACAGGATGGGATGTAGATCACTTCCCATTCATTCATAATTGAGGATATAGTAACCATACCATGTCCTCAATTATGTACAAACTCTCAGCAATCACTGATCGCTGAGTGTTTGTACCTCGCTCTCCTTCCTGACACGCTGTCACAGGAGGCTGAGTGAGCGGAGCTCAGCCTGCTGCGACAGCGCTGGCTGTCTCCGTCCACACTGCTCTCCCGATCTGCGACAGGAGGCTGGGTGGTGCAGGAGGAGAGCTCAGCCACCTGTGACAGTGCGGGCTATCTCCGCCCATACTGCTCTCCTCTGATCTGTGACAGGAGGCTGAGTGGTGCGGGGAGGAAAGATGCCGGCCGCTCACAGCGCTCTGCTCCCACACTGCTCGGCCGCCTGTGACAGTTTCTCTTCTCCCCGCTGGGACAGAGATTAGCGCCCAGCAGGGAGAGAGAAAGAACGGATACACCGCTGTATCAGCCATTATGCCAAAAGTGCCATTTTCGGCCGATGTATATCGGTGCATCCCTAGTTTTCAGTACTCACTAGAGGATGCTTACACCATTTATGAATGTGCCTGATGAAAATCTTGCCTCACACAGTTTATGCTGTCCAATAACAACCCTCCAGAAACACTCCCTTGTACTCCAAAAAATGGAATGATTGCTGTAGGGCGACACACATCCATAAATAAAGGTCATTATTTTGGCAAATACATTTTTTTGCAATCCACCTAACATATGGAGGGCAAAGTAATATTTTTGGAAATTCCATATCATGAAGAGCTTATACAAGAAAACAGTACTGTCATTTACAAATTTGCATTGTGCTCCGTTTACTTCTGGACTCCAAAGCAAGAGGAGTGCTATTGAAATGATGACTGTGCACCTACGGGTGCCCCCACAGCATTCGGCTAGATGGGGCACCTGTACAGGGGGAGAGCCTAGCTGTCTGGATAACACTTGAGAACGAGGACTAAACGTTTTTTTTTTTTTTTTCAGAAAAATATTTTATTAAAAATTTTCAGGCATACAAGAGATTGTAACAGCAGACAAAGGCAGCGTCAAACGTGTATCTTTAAGGATAATGATAATCCTAAATAATAACAACCGTATCTACAGTACATGTGTTAATGTGTCCGAGTCCTAGCCACACCTTCGCCCAAAAGTTCTCGACCCTGCACAGAGGGCCGCAAACGGCTAAAACTAAACGTTTTTTTTTAATAGGAAATCTGGTCCACATTAATAAGAAAAATGAGAAAAACCCTTAAGGTGTAATGTTGCTTTAAGGCCACTGCCATATGTACTAAAGACAGAACATAGAGAGGAATGTATCAAAACTGGAGCTAACAGATTCTGGAGCAGTTGCCCATAGCAACCAATCACATCTCTCTTCAGTTTGCTCAATTAAGTTTTGAAAATGAAACAGAGAAGCCAATTGGTTGCCGTGCACAGCTGCTCCAGATTCTGTCTGCTCCAGTTTTGAGTGTGTGTAGATGAATTGGGTAGATAACTATTCAGTTAACAGTCAGGGTATTCTATAAAATACAGTACGTCATGAAAAACAGAATTCAAAGCTTTTAAAGCAAAGCTGTGATTGTACTTTCTCACAGCGTTCTATATTTAAAAAGCAGTCAGCAGAAAAAGTAAAAACATTTACAGTTCAGACAATGGAAAGACACATATCCGTAATACCCAACAAATCACATTGAACTTTCATTTGCACACTTCAGATTTTGACTCATGCTAGACAGTGGAAATTTCGAGTCCCGCCCTGGTCTAACAACTCGCCTATCGCTATAGAAACGCATACACAAAACAGAAAACACACATTCCTGAGCATGTCATCTATTCTACCTGCATTCTCTTCTGTCTGTCCAATATACAAGTGTGAAACTTGAGTCCAAACCACATCTCATGTCTAATTTTTGCCTGGTGTGAAAACCCATAAATAAATGTGTTCATAATATTTCACATGTATTTCGTCTGTGTAAAAGGGGCTCCTATCTCACTGAACCCTTTGCCAGCACTCCCCCGCCACTCATTTCTCCACTTCAGATGGCACCACAATAGCACCCAGTGTCAGCTCTCATATACTGTGACCCCCTGCCCCCATTGTGGTGACTGCTGCTGGGCCTAGCCATTGGCTGATGGACCTGAGCATTGGCACAAGGTAGGAGGTTACGTGCTTCCATTCCCAGAGGCATTGGGTATTTTCATCATCTAAGGCGGAGGAAGAAGAGATGGGAGAGTGCTGGTGAAGTGAATATGAGTGGGTTGAGGGGACCTTTACATAGACCCTATCACTTTGCCCTTTAATGTACCCAACTATAATGCTAACATTAGAAAATCAGTAAACAGCACCTTAACAGAAATCAAATCTCCATCTACTGTGAGATTTACCACTTGAAGACAACCACCCCATGATCAGCACATTGATTCTAGACAATTGGTTAAATCCCTGACTTGCAAAAAATTAAAAATTCCTGTTTAGTCCCAACATTATAGGACATATGTTGCTGCTTATGCATTTATTATTGAAAACATAGAGCTGCAGGCTAAACCCCTGGGCATTTAATTATTAAAAGGGAAACGGTGTCAAAAGAGATATACAGTTGCAAATGTTAGCGCACCATTACATCAATTAGCAATAGTCAATATTGACGAATGAAAGCCAAAACGTTATTGCTCATTATTGCCTTATTCCCCTACCTTTAAAGGAGCTCCTAGATGTAGAGGTTTATCATGATGTACACCAGGGGTGCCCATAAGTTCCATTGCGATCTACCAGTACAGAGGCTCCTCCCCATTCAGAAACTGGTGATAGTAAATATTTTCTGAATGAATGGGAAGCCTCTGTGCTTTCCATTCATTTAGAACAGAGGCTGCAAAAAAAAGAGATTGAGGACTTTGTGTCCTCAATTTCTTTTTCTATTTTAAAAGGGAAATATCAGAGGGCTGTTTAGACCTGTTGGGGTCACACGCCTGCTGGGGGGGCACTTTTTTTTCTTGCCAAGTGTGCAAAGGGAGCTGGCTACTGCTATGCTTCCGCGGTGCTCGTGCGGCTGCCGACTGAATGTGTCAGACGCGGCAGACAGAAAGGGGCAGAACACCTCTCCCCGTGTGCAAGGTCGGCCACACAAGCACCGTGGGAGGATAGGACGCCCGCGCCTCTAGAACGCACTGGAATGCGTTCAGGGGCGGGAGGGAGCGTGGGGTTGCACCGCAGCCATGTCCCCCGCCCACAGTTTGATCACCGGCATTTTTGCAGATCGCACTGGACCGGAATGCAGGCACTAATGGACCGGAAAGGTGCACTGTGGGTGAGGGGCCTGGCTGCGGTGCCATTGACTTCAATGCACAGACACGCCCCCTCCCTCAACTGAACGCAGGTGTTTTTTCATTGGTAGATCTCATTGAGCTCGTCATTTGAAAAGTAGATCTCCAGACGAAAAATTGTGGGCGCCCCTGATGTACACTATTAAAAGCATGGCTGGAACACATTAAAAATTTGCGCAGCCAAGCCTCAGTTCTTATCCTGCATCACTCACACTATCCACTTAAAATCGAAATTGATCAGTGATCTGTTTTGTACAATTAAAATGAGGGTTTAGGGCTGCAACTAAGGATTATTTTCATAATCGATTAGTTGGCCGATAATTCTTTTGATTAAATCGGATTAAAAATTAAATACCGTCCTTCATTTAAAATAAAATACACAAATTCAGTGTTACAAAGTTTATTTCAGAATAAAACTGCATGCATAATTTTTTGCAATTGCCACCACACTGGAATGCCCGGCATTGTGGTACCTTGCGTTTCAGAGCAGGTGATCGCACTGCGGGCAGGAGGTGGGTTTAGGGTGCCACTGAAATGAATAGCAGCGCAACGCACCCAACGCACCAGAATTTGTCAGACCGACAACTAAAGTTATTTTTATCTTTAATGATTGGGGGAGGGTGGCTTTCTTTATTTCTGTAACTTCTCTACTATTTTTATTTTATTTATTAATTTTTTTGTTACTTTACTGTTAGGGTCTTTGGGGAAATATCAGGGGTCTAAACAGACTCCTGACATTTCACTTTTGAAATAAAAAAACAAAAAAAAAACAAAACAGTCCTCAATCTTTTTCTGCAGCTCCAGCACTGAATGAACAGAAAGCACACAGTACAGAGGCTTCCTGTTCATTCCTAAATCTAGGAGATTGTGGACATAGTACCTGTTTACTATTATGAATGAACAGGAGGTGATTTAGAGCACTTCTTTTACGTTCATAATTGTTCGTTACAAACACCGTAGTGATCAGTACTGATCACTGCAATGTTTAAATATTACATAGAGCGATCAGCAAATGTTTCACATATTTGCAAATGATCCTGCAGCTCTACTCCCCACACCGCCCGGCCTCCTGACCCCGCTGGGTGCTGGCAGGTGGATTGGCTCTGTATCCCTGCTGTGTCTGCCGATAGAGGCGGGGGGAAGAGTAGCGGGGATTGGAGGGGACACAGACCGCAGCATGCTCCCAGCGTAGAGGAGAATGCTGCATAGCCAATGCGGCATGGGTGGTTTGGTGGTGCTCTCCTCACTCATGGGCACTGGCTGCAGTGGTCTGTATCCTCTCCGATTCCTGCTGGGAGCAGTGGGGATTGAAGGGAACACAGAGCCGATGAAACACTGACTTCCAGCGTGAAGAGAACTGGGGGACAAAGACCAACTAATTGATAATGAGAATAGTAGACAACTATTCTCATTATCGATTAGTTGGTTGCAGCCCTATGAGGGATAGTTATACCATTCACATGCAGCAGAACAAAACCTTCAGGAGATGTTCATTATAAAATGTTTACAAACACCTATAACAAGACATGGCATAAATATGTTTAGACATACCCCGGTAGAGGACCCCCATTCGTCAGTTCAAAGACTTGATGTGGGTTTAACAGTTTGCGGAAACTGTAGAGGAGGTCGCGGCCCTTAAGGCCTCCGCTCTTAGGGTTTACAAATACCAGAAGGGGACATGAACTCTGAGGTAATTTTTCATGCTGAAAGAAAACACAACAAAATGATTAGATAAGAGTCCCTGCAAGCCACACAGTTTTTTGGACTGTCAGGATTAAGGAGAGAAAGAACAGTTTCATTTAAAGAATCAAGCTAAACCAAAAATTTTTTGTTTCTTTTGTTTTTTAACAAAAATTGCATTACTTTTTTGTGTCATAGCCATTACCAGATTCTGAATATAGTGCTCCAAGGGCTAGTGTACGTGGGTTTTTCAAAGGTAAGGTCAGTTGGAAATCAGTTTCTTTTATCATCACATACACGTTAATGTGAATACATAGCAAATACATCTAAAAATCCCAAGCCCATTACTCCTCCACTAATCCTAATAAAAGAGTCTACTTCTTTCAGTAAGGATACTAAACACCTACAGCACCAAGTTCTTTGCCGCACTTTAGGAGGGACAAGACCTAGATTACATAAACTAAACTGGACTCTGACACCAATTGCTTACTTACCTCCGTTAAACAGCCGAAGCCTGATCTGGTGTTTACAGCCTTGGTGATTAATTTCTCTTCAGGATGGAGGGGCTTAGCATATGGCTCTTTTCAAGTCAAGGGGATTACAACACAGAGGATCTAAGTATTGGATTGTAGGGGTTGGGAGCCTAGTCCAGTTTAGTTTAGTAGGGATGGGAAGTGTGTTAGGGTAAGAGTAGGCAAAATGGAACTTGTCCTTTAACATACACCTTGTATGTACCTTTCAGATTTTGGCATACAGGTGTATAACCAAACTGATATGGATCCAATCACCTCACGCCAAGATCAGAAGTCTGGATTTGCTTGTGTGTAGACAACCCACCAGGCGAACTAGAAACTAATACCATTAGTGATAACACAGTAGAAAATATAATCTACTAGATGATGTAAATGGATTTGAACCACTATTTATTTGATAAAAAAATCTACTGATCCTTAGGTCAAGCTATTAAACTGGGGATGGGATTAGACTACCATTACTTAACTTACCTACCAGTCCTGCTGTGTCTAGCAATAAACCAATAAGTGCAAGAAAGAAAAAAAAAAAAAAGACATTGGTAAAAGGTTTGCTTGTGACATAAAACAAAAGGGTGACTAGGCTGCTACATTTCTAACAAGACACAACTAGGAGGAAGTTGTTCACTTTAACCGCATGTTCAAACTACATGCAGTTAAATCTTACCCAATATTTTCTGTAGGCACAAAAATTTATATAAGTCTAATTAATCTGTAATCTGCGCCACTAGATTGGACCTACCAGCCAATGTAATCCTCATTGGCAGCTGTGAAATCACATTGGGGGGAATTTATCAAAACTGGAACAGATGGGATCTAGAGCAGTTGATCATAGTAACCGATCAGCTTCTCTCTTCAGTCTGTTCAGCTAAGCTTTGAAAATGAGAGAGGATCTGCTTGGTTTCTAGGGGGCACTGCTCTGGATTCTGTCTGCTCCAGTTTTGATAAATTCCCCTCTCTGTGTACAAAAAAAAAACTAGACAAAACAGGCAAAATACATAAAAAAAAGTCTGAGAAAAGAACCAATCCTTATCTTCAAATTTCCTAGAAAAAATCTAATTAATTTGCATAAAGTAACAAAGACTATTTTTTTTTAATTATATATATTGTTACATATAAGGCCTACTTTAATTTTCAAGATTCTATAGGTTTTACAACATAGTACAGTCCCCTCCCAATTAGTGACTGCCCAGTTCTACCACAATATGTGCTACATTTTTAACCAATGTATTTCTCATATTTATATTATGTCATGCTAAACATTACACAAACCATGAGCATCTGTCACTGACCGAGTAACTTGGAACTGAATTGTCCTACAATATACCAGTGCACACATACACACTTCTTGGGCCCCAATTCTAAATTTGGAATAGGTTTCTGGATTGGAGGAGAAAGCACAACAACACGGGAGTAACAGAGAAACATTAATGCAGTGCTACTGGTGGGAAATGAACCAAAATCCTGAAGCTGCAAAGAAGAACACAAACAAACAGATCTTGATCCTCATAACGTCTTCTCAACCTCATGCACTGCAGGCAGCATAAAAAGTAGAAAAGGCTAAATAAAACACATTATGGATCTTTTATTATTCATGTATGTCCTATCTTGCCATTTTCTAATTGCCCTTATTATGAAAGTAAAACGTACAAGCCCCTATGCACACAGGCTTCCTGCGGTAAAAACTGAAGTAGTTATCTGGGAAGTATAAAATTACTTTTATGCATCACACATCACATTTTCCTGTGTTTAGATGTTCCTGGGTATAACTAAACGGTACTAGGATGCAGAATTTTTTTTTTTTCTCACAGGTAATTGTCAAGAAAAAAAGAATACAAACAATTGGCGAGTTTAAATGAACAATAAGACAGAATAATAACAGTACAAGAAGGCGGGAGGGAGGTAATTAGGGAGAGGCCTCACTAATCAAAATGGCATTGTTCTAACAAAGAATGGGACAATACACAGCGTTTCACCTTGTAAGGCAGACAGATGTCATAACTGGTATTTGAACCACAGTGATGCTAAAAAGTTATGACACCTGTTTGATGGAGGGGCTCAGGATGGGAAAAGTAAACTTTTTTGGTGTTTTTTCTCAGAGCAAAGACAATGAACACATCCAAAGGTATAAGGAGGACCAACATTAAGGGAGGGTAGAAAAGAAAAGAATGAGGGGGAAAGAAGAAATGGAAAAGGGAATACATTGAAGGGGAGGAGGAGGGAGTCAGTAAAGGGGGAAAAAAGGAGAGCGAGAGGAGAACAAGCAGTAAAGGAAAAGAAGAAATTTATTTTTTTATGTAGATGCAGGATGCTGCTAAATGTCTAGGTGTGCATTCAGCAATGGTAAAGCATTACATACTGTCAGGTGCATTTAGAAGTTGGCTCAAAACGTACCTAGAAGCACGGATTTGAATTTCTGTGTGCATGGGCCTAAAACACATTATATATATATATAT